CTGGGGAGAGGTGGGGTAAAGGAGAGAGGAGATGCTTTCCAGTGTTGGAGCAGGAGATTGTTCTGGAAACTTGCCTTTCTGTGGCTGCTGTGTTCAGAGTGTAAGAGAAGATATGTCTGGGAAAATACTCAGGCATTTCTGGAGTCCCTCCTGGTCCCAGATTGTCACCAGGGTGGTTTCCTGCAATCTGGGGCTGGCACAGGGAGTCCAACGCAAGCAAGGGTTTTCCTTCTCTGTCTTCAACCCCATCCAGTCTGTATTCAGCTGAAGTTTGTAGAGTTTATAGAGGAGGAAAGTGACAAGGTTTACAGAAGATTGAGGGACTTCACCAAGTCACACAGCCAGGAAGGAACAGATATATGATGTGAGCCATATCTGATAACTCCAGGCCTGGGTGCTTGTCCATTCTTCTGCGTGGGGAAGAAATAAAGGACTATTTTTACATTAACAAAACAGGGGAGTCTCACTTCTTGAAGTTTGCAGCATTCAACATGATTGTATTGATCTAGCTCTGCCTTCTTGATGGAAATTTTGTGTTTCTCTCTCTCTTTTTTTTGTTGTTGTTCTTTTTGTCTACTTTTTATTTAAATTAAAACAGGTATCAAAAAGAACTCTGTTCTATGATTTCAACCCCAGAAAAATGTGCAAAATCTAACTCTGATATCGAATCTACACGAACGTCATCCCTAAATCTGTCGAAAATACCAGGGAATCTTTCAAATCAAAAGATTCAGAGAAAGAAAGTCCTCCATGCAGGTATCAGTAAACAAAATGGTTTGAATCTCATTATTGGTTTTTCTTCAGTGCAAAAAGGTAAGATAAAACTAAACCCACATAATATTCTAAAAGAAGCATAAACCTGTGGGGTTTTTTTATTGAGGTATAATTTATCTATAACATTACTTTATTTTCAGGTATGCAAGATAATGATTTGATATTTGTTTATATTGTGAAATGATCACCATAAGTCCAGTTAACATCAATCACCTCACATAGTTACAAAAACATTTTTTTCTTGTGATGACTACTTGTAAGATCCACTCTTTGAGCAACTTTCAAGTATGAAATGTCACCACACTGTATATTATATCCTATGACTTATTTATTTTATAACTGGAAGTTTGTCACTTTTGACCTCCTTTACACATTTTGCCCACCCTTCCTCCCTCCAACTCTGACAACAACCAGTCTGTTCTCTGTATATATGAGCTTGGTATTTTTGGGTTTTTTTTAGATTCTACATATAAATAAGATCATACAGTATTTGTCTTTCTCTGTCTGACCTATTTCACTTAGCATAATGCCTTCAAGGTACATCTCCATTGTTGCAAATAGCAAGGTTTCATTCTTTTTCATGGCTGAATAGTATTCCATTGTTTATCTATTCAGTTTCTTTATCCATTCATACACTGATGGACACTTAAGTTACTTCCATGTCTTGGCTATTGTAAACAATGTGCTATGAATATGGGGAGGGGTGCATAGATCTTTTCAAATGAGTGTTTTCATTTTCTTTGGATAAATACCCAAAAATGTAATTGATGTATCATATGATAGTTCCATTATTAACTTTTTGAGGAATCTTTGTACTCTTTTTGATATGGCTGCACAAATTTACATTTCCACCAACAATGCAAGAGTTCTCCACATCCTCTCCAACACTTGTTATTTTTTATCTTTCTGGTAATAGACATTCTAACAGCTATAAGGCAATATCTCATTATGGTTTTGATTTGCATTGTCCTGATGATTTGTGATGTTGAGCATCTTTTCATGTACCTGTTGACGTGTATGTCTTTGGAAAATGTCTATTCAGATCTTCCCATTTTTAATTGGATTTTTTTTTTGGCTGTTGAGTTATATGAGTTCTTCATATATTTTGGTTTATGGCTCCTTATTAGATATTATTTGAAACATTTTTCCCCATTCCCTAGGTTGCCTTTTCATTATGTTGGGGTTTTCTTTACTGTATAGAAGCTTTTTGTCTGATGTAACTATTGCTTGTTTATTTTTGCTTTTGTTGCCTTTATTTTTGGAGTCAGATTTAAAAAATCACTAAGACCAATGTCAGGAAGCTTACTGCATCTTCTTTTTATGGTTTCAGGTCTTACATTCAAGTCTTTAATCCATTTTGAGTTAATATTTGTTTATGGTATAAGACAGTGGTACAGTTTCATTCTTTTGTATGTGTCTGTCCAGTTTTCCTAATATTATTTATTGAAGAGACTGTCTTTTCCCCATTGGATATTCTTGGTGCCTTGATTGTAAATTAATTAACTATAATTGTGTGGATTTATTTTTGGACATTCTATTCCATTACACTGACCTGTGTTTCTGTTTTTATGACAATACCATACTGTTTTGATTACTGTAGTTTTGCAATATAGCTTGAAATTGGGGAACATAATGCCTCCAGCTTTGTTCTTTTTCTCAAGATTGCTTTGGCTATTTGGGATCTTTTGTGGTTCCATACAAATTTTAAGATTGTAAACTTGTGTTTTTTCAATTGAAAATTTTATTGAGATAATTGTACATTCACATGCAATTATAAGAAGTAACATAGAGAGACCCTGTATACCTACCTTTTACCCATTTTCCCCCAACAGTGACATCTTGCAAAAAAAAGAAAACAGTAAAATATCACAATCAGGGTATTGACATTGATATGATCCATGATCTCATTCAGGTTGCCTCACTTTACTTCTGTTCATGTGTGTTTGTGTGTGTGTGTGTGTGCATGTGTGTTCTGCATGATTTTATTACATGTAGTTTCATGTTTCCACCACCACAGTCAAGATGCAGAACATTTCCATCACAACAAAGATTCCTGGATATAGTTCTTTTATAACTACACTCACCTCCCTCCCATACTCTTCCCTAACCCTTGGAAACTACAAAATACTCTATTTCTAAATTGTTGTAATTTCAGGTGTCTTATAAATTGGAATCCTACAGTGTCTAACCTTTGGGGATTGATTTTTCTCACTCAGTATATTTCCTGGAGATTCATCCACATTTTATGTGTATCATTAGTTTGTTCCTTTTTATTACTGAATACTATTCCATTATGTGGATGTACCTGCATTGGTTTAACCTTTCATCTGCTGAAGGACATCTGAGTTGTTTCCAGTTTTTGGCTGTTACAAATAAAATAATTATAAACATTCATGTTCAAATTTTATAGGAACATGTTTTTATTTCTTCAAGATAAATTCTGGGTCATATGGTAATTGAATGCTTAGTTTTATAAGAAACTGCCAAACTATTTCCCAGAATGGTTGTGTCATTTCACATTACCATGAGCAATGAATGAGTGATATGGTTTCTCCACATTCTCACCAGCACTTGGTGTTATCACTATTTTTTATTTTGGTTGTTCTCATAACTGTGTAATATCTCATGGTGGTTTTTACTTGCATTTCCCTAATGATTAATGCTGTTGAACATCTTTTCCTATGTATGTTTGCAATTTGTATATCCTCTTCATTGTAATGTCTTTGAATGTGTCTTGCCAATTTTCTACACAGATCACTGTTTTTTTTATTGGTAAGTTTTGAGAGTTCTTCATATATTCTAGATACTAGGCCTTTGTTGAGTATGTAACTTGCAAATATCTTCTCCCAGTCTGCAGCTTGTCTTATCATTCTCTTAATAGAGTCTCTCACCAAGCAAACGCTTTTAATTTTGATGAGATATGGTTTATCAGTCTTTCCTTTTATGGATTATGCCTTTAGTGTCTAAGAACTCTTTCCTTAGCCCTTATTTCTGAAGATTTTATGATTTTTCCTAGAAGTTTTATAGTTTATAGATTTAAAAGATATATACTTTTATGTTTTACATTTAAGTCCATGATCCATCTGAGTTAATTTTTATATAAAGTGTGAGATTTAAATCAAGTTTTTTATTTCTTTACCTATAGATGTTGTTCTAGCACTATTTGTTGAAAAAGTTATACTTATTCCATTGAATTAATTTTGTGCCTTTGTCAAAAATCAGCTGGGCATATCTGTGTGGGTTAAATGTAGGTTTTATATTCTGTTCCATTGGTCTTTGTATCTTTCTATCAATAGCATAATGTCTTCATTAATGTAGCTACATGCTAATCTTCAATATCAGGCATGGTGATTCCCTAACCTCATTTTTCATTTGCAAAATTATTTTAGCTATATTAGGGCCTGAAATTTCCATTTAAATTTTAAAGCGTGGTTGTGGTTTTTTTTTAAAGCCTTTTGGGACTTTGGTAGGAATTTCATTAAACCTGTAGATTAATTTGGGTACAACTGACATCTCTATGATGTTATTCATCTAACCTATGAATAGGACATGACCCGTGAACATGACCCAGTTTTGCGATATTCAGATTATTAGCTGATCTTTCCTCTAATTACCTAATTTCTTGTAGGAGAGGTTAAGTTTTTTCTTGTTACAAGGACACATTTTATTCATGAACACTCTGTAAGGCTTTGGTACTTGTGTCTCTAAATTGTGAGGTATGGGACACATTTATAATTAGTGTGGTTTCCATAATCACATATGAAAAGCAATCAAGATATCTTAGTGCAGGCTCATTATCCTCTAAAGCACACAGATTAAATGTCCATATTTGATAAGTGCCTACTTGCTAGTTGAAGAGACCCAAAAGAGGGTAGAAAATAATACAAACAAAGGTCTGGACAGCAACTGTGGAATGCATAGTTTCTAAAATGGCCTACCAATGGTGGCCCATTCTAAACTCTGCAACCTGTGCATATGATGAGGCGTGACTCCCAGGATTCTTATGTTATACTGACTGTAAGCCAGGATTATCTATAAGAGCCCCTGTATTCACATAAGTCCTTAAAAGCAGGGGCTTTTTCCAACTGGTGGTGAAGAAAGTCAGAGAGATGAACCACAAGGGGCTCTCTGTATCCCATGCTGGCTTGAAGACGAGGGGTCCATGTGAGTAGGAATGTGTGTGCTTAAGGAGGCCCCCTTGCTGATAGCCAGCAAAGAAATGGGGACCTAGTCCTACAATTGCAGGGAAGTGACTTCTGCCAGCTACCTGAATGAGCTCAGAAGCACATCTCTCTTCAAGAAGGGCAGAGCTTGAACTCAGGTAAGTGGGAGAAACCATTGCCACAGCATTCAGTCGCTAGCAGCACTGTCCTCTGATGTTTGGGAAACTGAAGCTGTATTATTTTAAAAATCCAGGGGAATAGTTGCTACTTAATAGTTTATCTAATAAAGTATTTCCTTGCATCCCAAACTCCTTTAACCCCTCTCTTGGTGATCCCAACAGAATCCACCAGAACCAGCCTGCTCAGAAGCCAGATGTCCACCCTTAAGAGCACAGACTGCAGTGAGAGGAAGGACGGCCTTTCCACTTCCAGCCGCCGGGACACTCCAAGTGACAGAGGCAAGCCAGAGAAGGGCCCCATGTTAGGGAAGGCTGGGCTCCCTTCGCCTTGTGTGTCTGCTGCTCAAAGTGCTCCATTTGGAGACGTGAGGGGGGAAACTCTCATTTTTAGGTGGGTGCGGACTGCTTCCTATTCAGCAGACTCCCTTGTAAATCAGGAATGCCTGCTCTAAAGAGCTGGATTTTCCTAGGGCGGGACTGGCACTTACTGTGCCAGGGTGTTTAACACACCAGTGGCTCATATAACTAGTGTGCTGGTGGTAATGCCTGCTGTCGCACTGCAGTTTGAATTTGAAAATCTAATATTTCATGGTTTATTTTCTTCCCTTCATTCACAGGTGCACCACTTGATAAGCCCCTTTTTGGTCCATATTGTCAGGGTTTTGAGAGCTAAATGTGAGGAAAATACGACTTTTCCACTCAGTTGTTACTGCTATTGATAAAATCATTATTTGTAAAAATAGCAAATTTCTAAAATCTTAATTCTCATGGCCCTTTTCCTTATATTTCAAGTAGCTGATAAACAAAAAGTCCCAGCTAAACCCACACACATATACAATCTTCTAGGTAGTAGAGAGCACCTGAGAGAAATTTACACCTATTGTTACTCAGTCGTAGTAACAGGCCCTGTGTTCTTTAGTGCCGATCAGGGTGGTGGCTTTTCCTCAATTTCAATTAACTATCATATTTTCTAAGTTTGATCTGTGCAGATCCTTAAAGGGCTTATCATATGATTATTAGGATATGATTTCTTAGACATTTAACTAACTCATTCCCAACACCCCTCCTTCTAGATGATGCTTATTCAACTCCCTATTCCTTTGCCTGTATAAATCCAAGTTTATATAAGCATATATTAAAAACCCCAAATATTAATTTGACATTGTGAACTACAGGGCACAATAGGGATTTGGTTTTCCATGTAGAGTGGAGGAAGCACAAAACAATTATCTGAAACTAAAATGTTGATCAAGGTTCTCCTTTATAATTGGGCAAGTCTAATGAGGGCAACTTTGAACAATCACTGGTTAGTGGTATTCTTGTTTAACATGGAAAAACTGTATTTTCTGGAGAATGAGAGAAGTAGCATGTCTCCTTCCACAGAGGGATCTCAGTGGCTGTTGGGTGAGATAGGTAGCAAAACAACGATGGCACCATATTTACCTTGCACTGGTCTTCAGTGTCAGCTGCAAGTGAGCCTTACCTGAGAATGCACAGTGACAAATTGGTGTTCTCTGCAGTGCAGTCCATTTACTAGCCCCCAGTCACAACTGAACTCAGAGATGACTGTGACCCCTTTGTATTTTGATACAATCCCATGTTTGAGGAAATCATACAACTGACATTTCCCCTTCCCAGGAATGAGCATCCTTCTGACAAGTGAGCACTCAGGTGACAAATCATCAGAAAGACTCACTCAAGAGGGAGGCCAGGTTTCTGAGCAAGAGTGAGTACTTTAATTGTACTATGACAGTTTTGTTATGTTTATGTTTCTTATAAGCTGTAGAATGTCACAGTCTCATGTTCTTAGTTCCTCAAGCACATCTTCAGCAAACTGGCTCAGGACACACGGCTTGGTTGCCAAGAAACTCACCCTCCTGGATGCCTTGTCGGTGACATCAGTCCCTCACAGCCTCACCTGTGCTCCCGTTCTGGACAAGCATGTTGTTTCCAAGGTCTTTGATGAGGTAAAACTGATTTTCTAAATGTCCCTGCTTGATGTATTTCATTTCCTGTTCAAATAAAAAGTAGTCCGCTTCAGTCTCATACAGTTGTAACAGATGCATATTTCAGCCTTTGAAAAAAATATTTGTGAAGGCCATGAAAAAGGAGAGAAAAAAGTGCTTTAAACATTTTTGTTTTTAAGCTGAGAAGAAATTGGCCTTGCTGGATTGGCAGTTTATGGCTCGACGCTGATGGGTGGCAGTGCGGAGCTGCAGAAATGTTTGAAAAGCCTCGAGGTCACAGTCATGAGCTGGGACCGATCCAATATCAAAGGACAGGGAGAGCTTAGGAGCCTCCTTTGCTTATTTTTGCTTCCTAAATATCGTGACATCTTTTCCATCACAGACGTCTCTGAAGGAAAAAGTCAGGGAAGAAAGGAGGGAGAGAGAGGCAAATAGAGACCTGGAGAGAGAGAAAGAGGGGGAGAGAGAGAGAGAGAATGAGAGAGTACTAGGGCAAAAGAATCATTAGAGACAGTCTTGTCCTGGAAGGAGAAAAAAGCTTCCAGTAGGAGGGCATGGTAGGGTTAAATGTGGAGGAAGATCAAGTAAGTACTGACATGTGCCCTCGAAATTTCCAGGCCTACTGGAAGGTCCTCATCCTTAGCATGAACAAATCTAGTGGAGCAGCCAGATTGCACAGGAATAAGCAACACAAAAGGAACAAGAATGTGAAGATTGAACCCCAGGGCTTCTTGGCAAATGTGGCAGCAACTTATGATTTAAATAGGAACGTAGCAGTTTTACAGTCACTAAATGGAAGTAATATCTTTAAAAGACCTTACCACATACTGAAATCTTTACAGAGGAAATATAGGATGCTTGGGAGTTGTTTCAGAATAATCTGGATGGTGGCAGTAGTGGTGGGAAGGGAAGAGTAGATAAAGCAAGATCGGCCATGAGCTGATAATTGTTAAATTTGAATAATAAGGATATTGAGTTGGAGGAAGCTCATTCTACCCTTCTGTCTGCTTTTTTTATGTATTTGAAATTTTTCATCATAAAAAGTTGACAAAAATCAAAGGCAGGAAAACTTAAAAAAAATAAGAAAGGGTTTATCTAACTGGTCTTGGCTGAGGTTTTGTTTGGAAGAAGCAGATGAACTTTGTGAATATTTTTCTTAGTCACATTGAAGAAATTATGCCCATGTAGTACAGTATGTCTTCTGGTTTGACAAAATCGGTAGGTGGTTCTTGCTTTAGGGGTTATGGGTGATCACTTAGTCTGAGTTCCTGATGACTTTGCCTCAAGGTGAGTGGTCCTGCCTCTGGCTGTGACGTGTGACTGGCAGATTCTATTTATACCTCCAGTGAACTCTAATTTGATTAGTAGGATATCAATTTATCACTTGTTGACTTCTTCCAGAAGCAATAGAGAGAAACTGAACATTGATTTATTGCTTCTAGAAAGTTTTATGACAGCTTCTCATATTCTGTTCATTTATTTTATTTATATTCATGAGTTTTATTTGGAATAAAATATATTTAGTGAACTCTCCCTGAAAATAGAATTTTCTTGCGCTTATCATATCTCCTTCTAAGCCTCCCAATAACCCAAGATACACTGGAAAATGAATTTCTCAAAAAATGAATATGATAGGCAGGGAAGCATGAGCGTAAAATCAAAGGAAGAAACCATAAAGGGAAGATTTAAAGAAATGTGTTATTTTGCTTAAAGATATATGAATAAAATGGAGGTAGATCTCAAGAAAAATATTTGTAACATACACAACAGTTATAGAATATCTTAAATATATGTGTGTGTATCCATATAAATCAGTGTATGTGTGTGTATAAATCATTACTCAGTACACGCACACATGCACACATACCCTGCCGTAAAGTAATAAAAAAAGGATAAATACCCAATGGAAAATCTAGGGAAAAATCTAAAAAGAATGTCAAAATATGTCTTGCTGGTAAGCAAACATATGCATTTAGAAAAAATGCAAATTGAAAAATAATTTAACAACTCCCCCTGCCATTAGATTTGTAAGGTTAAGAAATAGTAATAAGAAGTGATAACATATGTAAGATGCAATTAGTTTTTATATCCTGGTGGTGGGCATATAAATTGGTGCAACCTTGGCGATATATTCAGAGGTGTTAAGAGTTTGCAACCTTTCCTCCAGCAAATCCATGTGTAGATATGTCATAATCTTCATAAGGAGATAATCAGAATTACTGACAAATATATTCAGAGGGTAACTATTGCTGCCTTATATCTAATAATGAGAAAGTTGAAAACACCCTAAAAATCTAGTAGGTACATCCATCTGCTGGAATGTCATACTTTCACAAAGTATCATGTTTCTGAAGGATAAGTAATGACATGGGGGAAAGCTCTCAGTAGAGTGCTAAATGAAAAAAAAAAGAAAAAAAATATATAGCATGTTAATTTGGTTCTATATATGATGTACGCACAGCACTCTTTTGCCTTCCTTTCTTTCCTTTACCAAAATGTTAATAGTGCTTATCTGAGTGGTGAGGTTATTGGAGATTTTTGTCCTTTGTTAATGTACTTTAAAATTTTTCTTATAGTACTTTTAACTCTAAATATATATTAATGATATGCTAAGAAAAAAAGTTAGGAGAAACAGACCTGAAGCAAATGATAAAATAATATAAATACACAGAGAACTTAATTTTTAATTAATTTATTGGTTTATTTTTATTTGATAAGTAATATATGAGTAATTCTCAGTACAGAATGACCATTAGGATTTTTTTATAGGAAAATGAGGAAGCTTCTCTCTCAACCACTCTCATCTATGAACGAAACATTGATTAGTTTGGTTAATATCCTTCTAATCCTTTTTCTACGTATATATACATATATATGTGGATATACAATGTATATTTATACACATGTACATAACATTTTAATAAACATAAATAGGGGGGTACTATAGATTTGCTATTTCATCTCTTATTAATGATCTTTAATATTTTAAAAATAAAGGTCTTAAAGACCTCCACATGCATAGATATGGGTCTATCTTGTTCCTGTTAGTTGCAGGGTTCTACCCCATTATTAACGGCCATTTATAGTCTGTCCTTTTCTATATTACATGCAATCCTGTAACAGATTTCCTTGCACATAGAGTTTTGGGCACATGTAAAAGACTGTCTTGCAGATAGATTCCCTGCAGTAGGGTTGCTGGACCCAAAGTGAATGGGTCTTAAGATTTTGACAGATAAAACTAAATCACCCTCCAGATAAATCTGACATTTCCACTAGTTTATATCCCTACAGACAACGTTTTATCCTAAGAGGAACTCTATGTAATACTTGTTGATAAGCGTTAGTTTGATGAGGGTAGAAATGCTTTGAAAACCCTAAAAACAGTATTCAGACATAAAATCTTACTCAACCTATCCTCTTCTCACTGACTCATATTCTGAAGAAGTCAATGTAATCACTCATTCCAGCCTCCAGAAATGTGCTTTTCAGGATGTATACAATATATCTGTTCTCTGAGGTAATAACATACCTACTTTGGGACTGTTGTAGGAATATACATATAATGGACTGTACTTAGCAGTCACTCAGTAGATGTTGGCTTTTAGCACAAAAAACATTCAACAGATATTACATGCCTGCTGTGTGCAGGCCCTGAGCTGGCCTCTAGATTACAGGCAAACAATATAGCCATTGTTCCTACCCAGACACAACTTGCCACTTCTTGGAGCAAATAGCAATTAAAATAAGAGGTTCTTGTTAAATGTGGTGAATGGGAAGGAAAGAGTAAGGATGCAGGGAAGGCCTGTAACCCAGTTTCAGTTGTCAGGGAAGGCTGCGGACCTGGCCATAGGAGGTCAGACCTGGGGATCTGTTCGGTCCAAGTTCAGAGCTGGGGGAAGAGGAGTTATGAAAGTGTTGAGGTGAGGAGTGTCCTAGGCAGTGGGGAAGCAGGCAGAGAAGCCCAAGGGCCAAGGAAAGTTTGTAATTCCAAAGAAAGCTTAGCATGACTGGAGGAAGGTGTTACATCAGGAAAAGAGGGCCTTGACTGACTAGGGATGTTGAATGTCATCCTGGGGGCGACTGAAGGGTTTGTAGCAGAGGAGAGAGAAACCCAGATTTGGGCTTTGGCTGCACGGTGGAGAGTAGTTGGAGTAGTTTGAGGCTGGGAAGTTGGGGACAGTTGGGGGGCAAGACCTAGGGGACTGTGACCCAGGTGGCAACACTGGGGATGCAGTCAAGGCTTTGTATAAATCCAAGTAGACAGGACTAAACAGTACGGAGCTGAGAAGGAGAAACATGTTGAGCAATTCCCAGAAGGAAAAACTGGGAGGATAAGTATTGAAGGTCCTGTTCTTCAGGAGAATATTCTAGTCTTTTGATTTAGAAAGTAAAAGCCAGTGGAAGAGTCCACTGTGGACTCTTGTGCTTGGTGCCTTTTGTGGCTTTGTAAATTCTCATCACAAACCTGTGGGCAGGTAGTACAATCCCCGGCATGCTTACCCTGCTTCACTATTGACAGTAAGAGCAAGAATCATGATAATGATGGAAATACATTGCAATAAATTCCAATTTCACTCTCAAAGCACACTTTCAGCTTTCATTCCTTAATATTTTCTCTGCCTGGAAGAGACCCTCAGCTGTATATGGAAAGAATAAGAAAACAATAATCTAAAAAACATACCCCACTTAGTGGGATGTATAGCTTTTTGAGATTTGGATGTAACATTTTATGAAAAAAAACCCACAACAATAGAAGGGATCTGGAAAGAAACATGAATCCTAACCCACTTTATTGAGAATTTTAATTGACTCTTAATCCTATGTTCTGTGCACAGCCACATCTGGGTAGAATTATAAAGGAGTATTTGGATTTGTCCCCAGCTCTTTGATTCATGACTTCTGTATAGACTCTTTATTCTTCTAGAACACAATGCTGTTTTGGTTTTCAGTGTTTCCTGGACCAGCATCAAATCTGTCCCTTGGAAGTGGAGTATTGAGCA